AGAGAGAGAGAGAGAGAGAGAGAGAGAGAGAGAGAGAGAGAGAGAGAATGAATTAGCATTGGAAAAACCCAAAATCTGAATATGTTAATTGTCAAAAGGATGTTAGAAATTCACATTTGGGAAGTGCTACTTAATGATATTTAATGATCTCCGTGATTAATTACTGACAGTCCATTGGTATGCTTCCCACTGTGTGGATTGCCCATGACAAATTGTTTGTCTAAACTGACTTCCTTTGTCATGCAGTACCCTTCTAGTTTCTACCTTAGGGTCTACACATATTAACAATATAAACTCATTTTGCCCTGGCACAAAATTGAATCATGATTGGGAAATTTTTGGATAAACTATAGAATACATTGCATTAAAAATTACACAAAAGTTAACTAGAAATCCCACTTTTCTTTAATATTTACTACTGCTTATTTTTTAAAAAAGCATAATTCATTTAGTGTTAAGGTGATGGACTTCTTGTTTTTCTTTTTCTCTTTCCAGCATCCTGGATTAAGCCCTAGATTTAATTAGGTTGAAGAGATAGCTCAATGATCTAAATGCCTCCCTGTCAAGTGCAAGGACCTGGGATTGATCTCTCCAGTACTGTATTCCGTGCCAGTTCTCTGTCAAGCCAGCCACCAAAACTGGGCCTGTAATCCCAGCACTGGGGACACTGAGACAGGAGGATCTCTATGAGTCCGAGCTACATAGTGAGACTTAGTAACAAATAAATAAAAAGATTAAAAAATATTAAACCCAAGATTTCTTCTGTAAATTGCATCCCAGCCCTTTTTGAGACAGTGTCTTGCTAAGTTGCTTACATATATTGAACTTTACATCCTCCTACCTGAGCTTCCCAGAGTGCTGAGATTGATAGTGCACATCACCACAATTATCTAATATCTTTATTTTATGACTGAGAATCTGGTTGAATCTCAAGACTTTAAATCTCAGTCTTCATTTTCATTATTAGCTACTATATTTGTCTTACAAGTGAGTAGGCCAAATATACATCAATTCAAACTTTGAAAGTTTGTACTGACAAAACATAGTTAAAAAGAAAATACAAAGAATAACAAAACAATGAAAACTATCTTGAAAATAGTTCTTCCTAGAACTGTAAAGGGTCATTCTATTTCCTAGCTGTGTGCCTGAGGGAAATTAATCCAGACTTCTGTGCTTCGGTATTTTCTGCTATAAAGTGAAGGTGATAATAATGCCTATTTTAGAGGTTTGTTATGAGATTTAAATGGGTAAAGTGCAGCACCTGATCCCTCAGGAAATGTAGGCTATGGTTATTTTACTTAGTTATTTAAGTTTCATACACACACACACACACACACACACACACCCATCACATGTACTGTGATGCTAGGAATCGAACTCAAGTCTTCACATGTTAGACAAGTGCTCTACCACTAAGCAACACCCAAGCCCTAAGTTTTAAATATACTTAGGTAGTACATTGTAAAGTAGGTATAACTTTTTAAACTATTTACTTTTAGGGAGATTACTGGCAATTTCAGTTTCTTGAGATGAAGTTACTAATACTTCATTTTGATAAATTGCCCAAGATAAGCCTCTTAGTTAAACAAATATGGCTTCTTGGACAACATAGAGAAGCAATGGTGTGATTAACACATTCTGGTATAGAGCCAAACAATACACTTCATTGTCTGTGATTTTTAAGGCAGAAGAGAAATAATTGCTTTGAAAAATTTAAAATGCAGATCAAAATTCTTACACGCTACACAAGTTAAATATCCCAAATCTGGAAAATGTCTTCAGAGCATTACTTTTGCTTTCTTTGGCTTCTGCTGGCTGCCTTCAGATGGTGTAGGGAGGAGTGATAGTTTGGGAGAAAATGGTGTTAAAACTTAGAGCAAGCAAGTGAGACAGTCTCTGACTGACACAAGTGCTCTCTTGACCTGGCACTCCAAGAAATCAGACCTCGCAGGGTAACAGTGACTTTGAGTGGACTTTTGCTCTAAATTTTCTGGAGGGTTGAGATTGAAGGTAGCATGTTACAAGAACAACAGTGAGAAAATAGGACTCTTTGGCGGAACAACTAACCAGGTGACACGGGAAATCCAGAGAGCTAAGGGTTTACTAATTTCACTTCGATAATCTGAGGTAAAGGTGGCACCAAAGCCCTGCTTTCCTAACTTTCCATCAATTTCCATTCAAGAATTTTAGAAATTTAGTTAATGATGTAACCAGGCCTTTTTCTTCAATGGGAATGTTCATATTTCTGTATAGATGCTACCTGGGCTAGTGTAGTTTCAGCTCAACAAATAAAGAGCTTTACTTGACAATGTGTGGAATATAAAATATGCTTTAGTCCACTCCTGCTCGCTAGTACTAACGAAAGCAGAGCACACAAGTGAAAGCTTCTTACACAATTATCAAGTCACCCAAAATGCAAAAGGATGCTGCGGAGACTGCCTCTCCATAATGAGGGGAGGCAAAGGTGTTCCCAACAATTTTTTGTCTGAGTTATGGAAATGAATATCTTGAGCTTTCCCCTCCATCAAAGACTGTCTGTTAATACCCAAACTACTTCAGATTTATTGTGACAAGTGATATAGTACCATGTTCAAGGAAGAATTTTGGGATGCATGCTTTGGAAACTTTTTTTTTGTTGCCCATCTGTTTTGCTTGTCGCAATTCCTGTTTGTTTAAGATGTACGTGTGCCAGAAATGTGGAAAGAATGTGTGCAGCGACAAGTGCTATCGAGCCATTTTCACACTGGACTTATGGGAACCATGTGCTGCCCATCTGTGAAGCTCTCATTTTATGCAAATTGAGAAAATATATTCTTATGTCATGTTGCCTTAATGCCCAGGGGTAGATTGGAATGTACACAGGGAGGAGAGAAATAGGGAGGAAATAACTTTACACCCAGTGGCAGGGTGGCCTTGCCTTGAGTAACGGAAGGTCTAGACGCATGCTTGTTGTCAGAAGGTGCAAGTTTGGAAGGAATTTTTCTCTCCAAAATTGCCTGAAGCAAAGCACTGTGTCTTTAAGATCAGTTTTTAATCTATGAATGAGTTTCTTAAAGGTCCTGTCTCAAGAAAAACTGAATAATTCACAAAGAGAGAGAGAGAGAGAGAGAGAGAGAGAGACAGAGAGAGAGACAGAGAGAGAGACAGAGAGAGACAGAGAGAGACAGAGACAGAGAGACAGAGTGACAGAGAGAGAGAAGAGAGAGAGAGGGAGGGAGGTAAGTAGGAAGGGAGGGAGGGAGGGAAGAAAGAAGGGATGAAGGGAAGGAGAGAGAATCCTTAGTTGTAGGTCTTTCCTGTCATCTGGAATATTCTGCACCAGTGGTCTCAGATATATTCTGAATTCTTGTGCAGAACATGGTAAAGGCCATCAGTGTATTATCAGGTCAGTGTTTCTGAGATGTTATTCTTTCCAGATTGCTATGGGTATAAGTAGAATCCCTTTTATCTGCATGTACTACCCACTTTATATCATGTTAGAATAAAACTACCTTACATAAATAAAGGGAAAAAATGCCCTGGGAAGGTAATGTGAATTAGAGAAGTTACCTCAAACTTTGACTGCTGAGTGGGTTGCCTTGAGACTAAGTATGATGAAGGCTTCAATATGTGAAGAGACCTGCTTCATTATTGTCCCCACATTGAAGGTGTTGGGAGGAAACAACTGCCCATATGTCATGTCAGCAAGACATTAAGTACTTGAAATTTTTTGAAATCTATTTTCAGTTTTCAAGAAAATACAATAAAATGCCAAATAGAAATGCAACTTTTATTTGTGAAAAAAGAACACTAAGAAACAAATGATGAAGGAGTCTCCAGAGGCTGTCAGAATAGTGAGGGTTAGGGTTAGAGACTGATGCCCTACACTCAGAAAACATCTAAGTGTAGAGTTAGATGTTAGTAGAAAGGGCTGTGGGGGAGCTTTGGTAGCATTTTCCTGTGCTTAGAAGAATCTGAACTTGTTTTAAAGTTCTACTGTTATCGTTTGAAATTCTTAATGACTTATTAACAGGGTGTCCTATATTTTCATTTTGCACAGGTCCTTCCAAATTATGTACCTGGTCATGTTGAAGACAAATGAAAGCAAATGTTTATCCACTCAAGCAGAACTTGAGAAGGAAGGTTGAGACAAAAGGTCAAATGTGAACAGAAAGAAGGACCGAATATAACTAAGGACCCGCACCCTCCCCGCTCCTCCCTCAATTACGCGCATCCTCTCCTGCTTTCAGGGAACCTGAAGCTTGTGCTGATTTCTTCTCTTGAAGACTTTTTGGGATTCAGCTTCATGATCATAGATGCCACTCAGGCACCTCTAGCTCTGCCTCAGGCCACCCTTTGTGGTTCCATTCACATTCAGGTTGGGCTTTCTTCCTGTTTGTTGTCCCATATGCCAATTGTCTCTGGAAACATTGTGAAAGAAAAGCCAAAAAGTGTGCTATAGTAATTTCTTGGAACTTGCTTGATGTGCCCAAGTTGCTAATTGAGATTAATCATCATGGTTATCAAACTCTCATTCTATAAATTCATTGTAAGAATTTTCTTT